CTAAACCCATGTCGATCTTCCCGAACCGAACTTACGCCTCTGATATGGGCGTCTTGCTTTTGTACAATTTGGCTTACGGTCGCGACTTCGCCACTCGGCACATGACAGTCAATCTTGCTCATATAAAATTGCTGATATTGCCTCGAAGCGTGAACAAACAGATATTAGCAAGTTGATTTAGATCTAAACGCCCCTCCTCCACTTAGACCGGTACCATTTCAAGGAGATGTCAAAGGCTCTCGGGTGATTACCAAATCGATTTTGTAAAGTGGTGTGAAGCCGGGGTCACTGAGTCAAATTCAATGCGTGGGGACAAACCTCGCTCCACCACCTCTATCTCACCTCGTGAAAGCTTCAATGGATATTCTCACAAATAGACTCAAATTTTTCGCCTTTGATTGCGGATAGTCAGCGTTTGACGTAAATATATTCTGCTGCCGAGCACCTTAGATAGTGCCTACCAACTTTACCGTAAAGCGCGGAGGTCGACTTGATTCAATGACAACTGGTAAAATTATTGGCGGGATACCTTGTCGAAGAACTGCTTGGCTGTAATATCATCAATCTCTTAGGTATTGACAGCAGCAAAAAAAGAGAAAATTGCTCAGATGGTACCCAAAAAGTACAAAACCGGTATGATATAACGAATCCATAAAAGATCGGGAATAAAGTCCAGCCTCACGGACTACCAGCAGTCTGTCGGAATTGGCAGGCTTATCAAAGGTCATACCGAATGCGGCGGAATCCGTTGACACGCCACATACGTGCCCACATACGAACACACAACTGTTGTGCCACTAAAAATAGTGATCACAGTGTAGGATTATTAGGTTTATTTATTCGACCTGGCCACTCAAAATGGGTATCTGCACCTCGTAAAGAATTCTGCTTAGAAGTCCATATCATGAAGCCCACGACATGCTGAGTGTCATGTATTTTAGAGCTGCACTAAAATAAGACTTGGAATACGATATAGCAGGGATATGTGCAATGACAAAGTGACATTTGGTTCTCGATTCTCCTCTTCCAAAAGCTTTCAGTGGAGCATGACATGTTGCATCAGTCCCGTACCTGCAATTCTTTGCCGGGTATAACAAGAATAATACGGGTCGCCACATCAATAAATATCGTCACCACTGTGACAAGGAACAACTTTAACATCAGGGCCACGACAAAGCGAGTCCGCCATCAAAAAGGCCAATTAGATTTAGAATTTTACCTTTAAGTGTACACAGCAATATAGGATTATAATTTTGCCACTCTTTGTCAGAGATGTTGTGACGACGTTACAGTGCGCAATAACGCATGATCTGAAACATCACAAACAATCTAGATCCAAGCAGTCACACCCTGAACATGTCGAGGATATACTATATCGCAAATCTTCCTCATTATTTACTCTGCCTGGAGTTAAGTACAGCCTACGACAGAGGCAGCAGCGACAAGAAATGGTCGACCAATTGGGAAGAGCTCGAACTAAACCACACTCGCTTCCTTTTACTGCACTAAACGCGCCATTTTTTACCGTAGACCCGCACCAATTGAAATCTTTTTAAATACGATCAGTGAGCAGTCGGGTATGTCGACACAGTTCTACTATTCTTTTTGTGAATTGTTGGTCAGTCAAGCCACTTCCTCGGATCCCATTGGGACAACTAATTCGCCAAAGAACGACGAGCAGGTGATAAGATTTACCGAGCAGGTAAAGAGCACTTAACAAAGTGCCGTCGACCATGCTGTCTTACAGCATATACTTTTGAGGGATTGGTCGTTAAGCCGGGATTGGCTGTATACAGCTTTTGACAAGCATACACTATTCGCCACTTGCCGCTAGCCTTTCTGACAAACCTTCCGGGTTTAGCTGAGAGATTTACCTTATACAGTCGATCTCGATTCGTGCTCTGCACAAAAACATCTTCCTTCACGACACACAATTTTCTTGAAATGAGGAATCGCCGTGTGATGCAAAACTTGGCCAAGGAATGAGATAGATCTCATGGCGCACTCCCCTAACCTCGGTTACCACGCGCGGAGGGCTCGTGCCACCGCGTCGGAAGTATACTAGGATCCGCAGATGTGCTAAGGATAGCGAACCTTCGGAACTTATTGCACCATATTGATGACCGTTGCTACATTGCAAATGATGCACACATTCCCCAGAAATTATTTTCCCAGTTAGCATTTCTACCGGAAGTTGTGAGAAAAAACGTATATGTGCCAAGACTTCATTGATCACACTGATCGCACTGATCACAAGAGAATGATATTTTTCTCGACATGTATACGCAAAGCTTTACTGCTCCACACCCTTCGCATCTTCGGGGCCTGCCTCTTCTACTCAGAATTACAGTCACACTTCAAGTGATCACCATTTTCTATCTTAACGAGAGGCCTCGGTCCATCACGATTTCTACCTTCCGAAATCTGATTGAGGAACCTAGCAATATCATTGCTATCGTTTTTGGACAACCTCCTGCCATGCACGAAACAAATATTTCAGCATCGTGCTAGAGCGATAAGCGCTTTTGTTATCTGACCGAGGTAAATTTACGACTTGCCAAGCTTCTCAGTTAGATAAAGCCGCGGCACCCACCAGTTGACCCATTGTTCGTGAGATATCTGCTACGCCATACCTGGGATGACATCATGTCCCAAAGCCAGGTCCAGGAAAAGACAATGATTTTCACTTTCAAAATCCTCAAGCTTCACTGAAAGGCTCAACACAACCTTCGGCACATTATTCGGTTTCCTGTCGCAAGACGCACGAATGCCGTATCCATAGTGGCATATTCAACGCCTTTGTGTATTGTCTACTGTTTAAGGCAGTCTCCCTTCTTTCGTGAGTGAACAAAGCTTCGAAAATATAGAGACTTATCGCGGCTATGCAAAGTCCACAACGTTGATTTTAATAATCAACAACATTTTGCTGTTGGACCCCCACCTCTGTTTGAGAAAGTCGCACTCTTTAGACCAGATCTTTTTGATTATATCATTCAACATATTCAATAAAATTATATCATTTCCAGTAGGTTGAGGGGTAGCATACTAGTACTCAACGTTTCTCCGCATGGAGTTTGTGGGCTGCCCTGCCTGGCATGACGTACATTCCAACTGACAGTAAAACTGGTCTGAAGCGCAGGTAATTTCGGCTCATCCAGGTACCTGCGAACGCCGCGGAGCTGCTCAGCAAAAAAAGCACTTTACTCCATCTCAACATGGCTGGGGTTCATTGCACCTTACGCGCCCGTACCGATTTATCCATCCTATCCTCGCGGCAGAAAGTTGTAATTTACATTGATTTTAACGCTCTTCGTTCTTTCTAGAAATGGTAGGTTGGACACAGAAGAAGTCGTCACGAGTTGCACCCGTTCAGAGACCCTCCATGCATACCAGCTTGGAAAGAGGGTAAGATTTCATTTTTGGGCTTAGCTCCTGGATACAGTTCGCCCGTTCCCAGCTCTCTTGACGGGTAGACATGCACTGTGAGCACACCTGTACTACTCGTTAGGTGCTGCGAGGCCCTTGCAAAAGATGACATTTCAAAATGTTCTATGCTGAGAACATTTTAATCAAGATTCTTATCACGTTATTGCCCATTGTCACGCGCATCGTCCAAGCTCGGAGACTGCAAGCGTCGCGCACTATTGCCTAGTTCGATCATGGCCGAAATTTCAACTCTTAAACTCCCCCCGTCGACCTGGGAATATTTTTTCCGTCCCTTACGACAAGGGCTGAACGTTGACAGTAACGGCATAATGGTGAATGTCATCTGTTTCACCACCCTCGCTCGGTCAAGCTCTCTTAGTGAGCGATTGCTGTGTCTCGCTCATCGGCCGCTAGCTTTCTGATCCCGTTGGGGCCATCAATACACATAAGCTTATTTAGCGTGTATTTGCTGTACCGAAAACAAGTATTCGAGGATCTTAAGCTCCGTCTACACATGATACAGTCCTGTCACAGGACTACAAGTATCAACTAGGGCAAAGAACTTGGCGTGTGTTTTGCGCAGAAGAAGCTACCTCATGTGACTAAATGCACAGCGATTGGGTTTATACGCTCCGCCAAGGAATAAAACCGAGCGTTTCTTTATTATTTTGTTTGATTTGCTATATTAAAAATTGATACTATACACAAGGTTTGTCATGTAACACTTATCACTGGATGTGCACGCAGCCCACGTGTATTACGAACCTCATTCTTATTATTTTTATAAATTTCGACGACTATCGTACTTGTAAATTTTGCGATTGCACCAAAGTGCAATGTGAATTTGTACAATTGCGCAGTATTTTATTTTCTACCATTTTACAACAGTGTAAGGTGTAGGTGCACAACAGCTCAATTTTATCCCGTTATAGAGAATTAATGGTCGACATAAAGTAAAATATTTGTCTAAACTATTAAGTAGTGCAAAGTAGTGCACTCACATACATTGTATCTGAAGAGGTATTATTTGATTATGGAAAAATCAACTTTTGTGCTTTATCCGAAGGCTACTACTCGCGTTGGAGACAAAATCGACGGACAAAAAGATGGAAAAACCTGTTTTCAGCAAATCTGTGCCAACTGTTTTGCACATATTTTGTCCTTTAACTCGGCAGATCGGTAAGTATTCGTGGTATCTATCCAACCCCGAAACCTGCGTTAGACAGGCAATTGTTAAAGCTCGTAAACAACATCACTACAGCATTCTCACGAGTAATTTGGGCATTTATCTTGCAAAATTAATGCTTTAAGTACGCGCGTGTCTCGTATCCTGATCATGACACGTCGAATTGAGAATATGGCTTCCGTATTGCCTGGATACCAACCACCCAGCAAATCAAGTACTGCCGGATATGTTCACACAAGATTGTGGCGAAGCTCGCTGGCTTGTGATATACTTTGATCATCCATTCAGACTGCCGCAAACGGCCGAGCATTATACTAACATCATCACAATTTGTTTCAGAAATGAACTTAGCGTAATTTACCGAGCTGCAAACATTAATATTCTAAGTCTAAATGCGCGATCGCGGGTGACGGTAGTTGCGCATTTCATTCGGTAGGGATGTCGAGACAAGATCTTCGAGAGTGTGAACGCCATATTTGTTAGGCGCACCCGTACGCCATAACTCGCGAGCGTTCAGCTGGCCGTCAGGGCTCAGGAATTCAACGCCCATGAACTGCTGGTGCCACCGAATCATAAAGTCGATTCGGGGAGTTGGAAAGTTTCCTAACATCTCAGCTATATTCTTGAGAATACACAGACCGAACGGAATGTCCTCCCAAAACAGACGTGAGTTTACCGCAGGCTGGTATTGACCCTTTGAAAGCTCCGTCAGCGGTGTCGCACAGCCAGCGTAGCCACGATTCGTTCGAAAGATCTGCAAGAGTGAAGAACGATCCGACACGTCCTCGCCGTAGTGTTTCACCACGCGGTCTCCCATAGGCAGCACATCCGATAAATCAAGTGCCGGGAAGCGCTGCAGCAAAGCGTACTTGATTTGTTGGAGCTCATTGTCCAACATCGTCAGCTGTTCAGCTGAGAACTCATCAAAATCAGCGTCTACAGCACGATTCATAATTTCATAAATTGCTGTTAGGGATTGATCGCAAGCTTAAATATCAACAAACCATACAAAGAGTAAGCCCATCGCGTTTTTTTAGCTCCTCCAAAGCGTAGGTTTTTTTGCCATCCCAGTCGCGGAATATTGCATAATAGCGAGCGGGGTGAATGATTTGGTTTGACGGCGTGAGCGTTAGATTCAAAAAGTTGGCAAGTGGCTTGCAAGGAATGTCATAAAGCATCTGCATAAGCGTCGCTGCATCCCCCGTGCGCTCAACAGGGTAACACGCTACGTACAAACACTTTTTGGGGCCAATGATGCGGCATTTTTGCCTGTACACAAACGACAACAGTTAAAATTGCAACCATGAAAGACAGAGAGAAAAAGCAGTGGCTTGCCCGTATTGAGTAGCTTTGCATATCCAAGGAATATTTTGCAGACCGAAAAGCTATGTTGAATAAGGATGACAAGTCTTCATGTCAGCTTCATGTTACAGCAATTGCAAAGCAAAACTTACCAGGTCAACGTTGGAAAGTATTTCCTCACCGAGCGCCTTCTTGACGGCCCAATCGAAGCCGCCTTGAGCGAACAATGCACCGAGTTTGACACCTTTTGTAAGAAAAGGCGCAACGTGTTTTAGAATGGTCGGATGCGCGTTGGCTGGAGATGCCACGATTACAACGTCCGACTGCGGGATAACGTGCTTGGCGTGTCTAGACACAAGACTGAGACGACCAGTCAAAACGCCTTTTGACTCCCAGCTACTGCCTGCTGTGCTCAACTCAAGCACCTCCGCCCAGCGCTCAGGCTGACGTGTTAAAACCTGTACGCGCACACCTTTGGCGGACAGGTAAGTAGCCGCCACGTGTGCGCCGTTGCCACCGCCACAGATTGTGACAATGCCAACTGTAGGTGCAGAGGAGATGTTCTGCTTAGACTCGGTGCAAGTGGAGGCCATGGGTTTATCCAGAGTAGTGTTTCAGAGGAGAACCAAGTCTACTCGGACGTCAAGTGGTTGACTTATAACGTCTTACTTCATCGATCAAGATAGCGAGGGTGTAGCAAACTGCGTTCACGCCAATGGATATTGTGGACATACAGTACAAGCGGGAATTGCTGATACCATCAGCAGGCTGTAATATGTAAAGGTTCTGTACATCGCGCAAGGAAATACAGCTAAGTTTAGGGCACATTTTAATAGGGTTGTACTGGCAAATAACAAACTCAGTTATAAATTTCACAACGATCGGACCATATTTCCGAGATAAAAAACGCACAGAAGTTAACTCAAGGGCTGCGGAAATTGATCCTCTCAAGTTTCCAGTCCTTTTACTCAATACAAGATACGCGATATTAAGATAGAATAGCTAGAAGTAGTTTCGTTTATCAAATAACTAGAACTTACACTGAAAAGTAAAATTTACCTACTCGACTATCTATAAAGGTTATCTTGTGCGCTCATAATCGTATCAGAAATACAATTCACACTACACCTGGTGTAATTGTGAATATTTATACGGTATTTCAAGATTGCAATATGTGTCCTCCTGAAATAGCTAAGCATCTAACAGTGTTCGTTACGTTGGAGGCTCTCTGTAGGAGTGCACGAACCCATCCTTCGTGCATTTGTTAACGCGAACCCATAAAGTCAAAGTCATCTCGATGCAAATTTCACTGCAATCATGTATCAGCAGCTCACATGTCCAACGAGCTTTTTTGAGAGTACTATCGCTCCGATCCGTATCGTGAAGCAGCCAAGATACTTTCCCTTCAGGGTGTAGAGGTATATGAACACCACAACAGGGTAAGCACTCTGCTATATCATCTCTGGTCCAAATGGAACCCCAATGTGCGTCACAAACATTACGGTTCTTGCGAAGAAAGCGCGTTTAAAATACGGGCACGGAGTTCCAATTATTTAAGATAATGGTTCGAAATGCCACAAAGTAGACACATCCTCTGTTGTTGGTTATGAGGCAATGAGGCAAAGTGTTCTGCGGTAAAAGTAATAAAAGTAATTTATCAAATCTCCCTGCCTTGATATGAGACAAGAGAAAGCGATCATTTACAGCCGAATCAGCTTGTACCTTTGACGGGACGGATAAGTACAGCTATAAGTCGGATCCCAAGAAAACTTCTGGTGGGATGAATAAGAGCAAGTGTGTATTGCAGCCTTCATAGTCTGATTGAAGGCCAACTTATCTAAGACGGGCTTAAAGAAATTGATGCTACCTCATTAATGCGGGGCTTTATAGCCCATATTTAATGGTTGCTGACATCAACTGATTTCTATGCAAGTAAAGGGGCTTAGCTTTAATAGGACCGTCGCTGTTGGGCTTATGGTTAGAGTTATTGATCGTTAAGATTAACGTACCAGACTATGTGGAAGTTATGCATTCAAGGACATCGTGCAAGACTGTGAAACAAGCCACTGTTGAAAGCAAGAAAATATAAGCGAAGGCCTTGTGTATGTGAACCTTACTTCAAGCCTTTTAATAATGGCGTGAAACATTTTTTGGATTTAAATGTAAATTTTAGTAAACGATGTCAGTTTAGGATTTACGTATGGGGCAACCCTTTTAATTCATTTGATGTCGAAACGATAGGTGCCAACCACTTCTCCTAAGGGCTTTCTGGTAGGAAACAGAAGCGAATTGGTGTGGGCGGAAAGCAAAGACAGCTCTAGTTCAGGGTATGTTCTAGGCAGTAGCAAAACAGCTAAGAGCCTTGAGCTGGGTTCGGAAGGCAAGGACGACTGTGAGCCGCAGTCGACACTATTGATACGGTAACAAGCTACTCTGTGTCGCAAAATTCAAAGATGAGCCCTTATAAGACGAATATTTCAAGATTTGTTATATATCCAGAGTTTGTCTTTGTTAAAATTACAGAAAGCACCAGTATATCGCTCTTGTCACGATTCGGTTCCATTTTGATAGGTCGAAGGGCTTTCGAGGGGAAATGCCTTATATGAAGACAGGCGACTATAAGACGCAAATTTTGAGGCCTGGCTCTCATCCTACTGACAATGCGACAGATTGCTGTGCTTCTTGAATCGAGTGACACTTGGTATCTAGAGCTCATGTTAATATGCGCACCGAGGATGCGCTTGCATGTTGTCACTGACGCCGAACCGGCTTTGCCGCAAATAGAACCGAAAAATACAGTTTACATTTTTAACGGAAGGGTTAATTTGCCTTAGGTGAAGGCTGTAGTTACTCTTGGAGTAAGCGGATTGCGATCCACTACACTCGTACTGGTTCTAAGTATAGAACGAAGGTCACCGATCTTAACCAGGCTTCCTCTAAGCGAAAGAGCTACGACAGCCTCACTGCACTACCTACACAAGTATCAAGCATTATGCAAAAAATGATACGGCCTCTCTTATATATGTGGATAGCATGTCAAATGGTGTTGAGCGCGGCAGACAAGTCCGTTTTCAAGGCTGTTTTATAAAACGTCAAGTGTGCCCCTAATTTGTCCCTTCTGGGTCCAAAACGGCAAAACGGCCATTTATTGTCGTCTGTGACGCTCCGGTTTTTGCTATAGGCTGAGCATTATATCGTTTTAATTTCCATGGGAATGAGACGTTTTGCTCCACCAATATAAGGCGTCAGAGAAAATATTAGAATCTAGGTTACTGATGTGCATTTTATGAAATATGCTCTAATTAAGTTAGGGGAGAAACCTGCACGGCTCGAATCCATTTGTGATCAATGCATATTATACGCCATTACGCACAGCAACATCGTCACCACAATGCACAAAAAAGTGGCACGATAATTATTCTTCATTGATGAGTATACCTTTTATTCAAAGCACAAGCCTGGTAGTGGCGAATACGTTATCTTGACGCATAGATTATGACATATCACATATCACAATGTAGTGCATCGACGATTGCGTTCGAGCCGGGCACGACATAAACTACGCTGTTTGAGAAGAATAAAAAGCAATACAATTTTGAACTTGGTTGTTTCGTTTGCTTGATGGCAGCTATTCCTTGTTCAAATTATGCTGTACACAGCACAAACTAGATCGACAAACCGCGAGGTACTGTAACATACAACTGGGGCAGGCATGTTCGGATAACCTTTCTCGCCTGAGTGCTCCAAAAGTATGGTGCAACTGGCAGCCCACGGACCGAAAGCGGTTATCACTTGCCGGAAGGTCCTTATATGGATGAGTCTGTCTTAACCAAACACATCCGAGAAAATACTTAGTATGACATCGGTGCAACGGCACGTAGCGCTAACGTTCGTCAAGCTACGTTGCTGTCCCAGAGTATGGGGTTACTCATGAAGCGAGGCGTCCACAACTTGAAAGCAAAGGGGTTTTGGGCTTTGCACAACCTATTCTATTACCACATCTGGTCAAAGTCGTATATACACCTTTGGAAGGTATATTCGATGGGGTATGCTCAAATGTTGGGAGCTCAACCAGCCGCGATACCGGCTTACTCTTTTCCGGAATCGGTGACAGTTGCCACACTTTCTGTAGTCCCGATACCTGCCGCATAAATACAATTTGCACCCAGCCTTTTTCGGGAAAGCGGCAGTCATTACATTGAACGTGTATCACTCTTTCAGTCTGCGACAGTTGGTTGGGATGACGACGTATAAGGGCGCCAGAGACTTCCAGCTAAATAAGATACAAATAGCATTATTTCCTAGCTACGGAGCAGTACCGCGTCGGTTTGAATTAAGTATCAAACATATGCGTCCTTCATGCCTCCTTATCTCTCGGTTAAGATGCATGGAGAATAAGCTTTCGACCAAATTGTTGAGCTCCAGTGGAATGTCTTCAGCTTGCAAGGGTAGCTTTATAACTATAGCGCATTGTACAATGGAACCTAGCCTTGATAGATCGTTTCTTTTGGAGAAATATCTCAGGCTGACTGATTGTCAACATCGACGAATCGGTAATGTATATTTCGTGGAATCAGATGTCTTGTGCGCTTATAGGCCGCACGTAAATAGTTGAGACTTCACCTACCACGTGGAGGCATTAAGAATGCCTAGTCTGGATATCATCTCAGTGCGCTTCTCGAAAAGGACATGTCAAATATTTGTTTGAGCTTTGAATGGAATTTGAGAACTTAGACAGCGTAGCACGATGTTTGTTCTGTACCTGGATTCTAGATACTCTCATTCTAAATAAGACCACCACTAGTCAAAAAATAATTTGAGCTTGAAGGCATTTAGTACTTTCACTTCTCTCCTATAAAAGCCATAGTTTAAACTCTGTGAATGTTAAAATGGATTTAGGCATGGGCACGAAGCTGCCACGGTTTTGGCGTAGAAAACGAAGTTTCTCGCACTGATTTTCAAAATCCGAACATTCTTATTAGTGGCGATATTGCTCAGAGTCTTAGGTATAGTTGCAGAAGTGGCTCTAGCCGCGATCCCCACGGTACATTTCTGTGGATCGGAAGTAATCAATTGTATGTCGTAGTATCAGTAAAAAGCTTTTGCAGGTACAGATATGGATAGCTGTCGGCTGGGGGTCTCTAAGAATTTACTCTTGTGAGACAAAAAAGTACGAGTCGGTCTTCAAAGCAAACTATTGTCAAAACATGCATCTGTGATTGAGAGCAGGGTCATATGACGCTGTATGTTCATCGGATGATTCTATTAAATCACGGTATTATTGTACAGCCGAGTCAGCACCACCGAGTAGTTGACCCCCGTACGAAACCTCGAATCTTCGTGTGTGTGATCGAGAACTTTTCCTCTCATAATGGAACAACGGGGATAGTCTTACCACTCGACAACATGTTGTGATACCCATTCGAGAAGAGGGCATGAATAAAACCCTTTGATTATTAATTACATCGAAAGCGAAAAGACATACTGCTTGGTAAGCGCTTTGTATTGGTGGCTTAAGTTTCTAGCCTTAGAAGAAAATATCTGCGCTCAACTCAGGTCATATCGCACTTCAAGAGTATATCTTGATCACTTTATAAAGATCAACATCTTATACGTTTATGTTAATCTTCATAAAAGAGCTTTCGACACAATATTAAGTATCGCGTCGCTAGACAGACCGATATAGTGTCAGCGCTTGACGTCTTCAACGTCTCAACATATTCCCTACCAGTTTCTACAGAAGTCCATCGTATATGACTACTCAACGCCTATAACTCAATCTGCTGCTTTACAAACTTCAAGACAATAGAGTCAACAACAGGGACGATATGATATATATTCCGTTACATCCTCACCCATCTAGACGGGGCCCACACTGAAATGCACACTTATTTTGTCATTTTCAAGACGTTGCACAACGGTAACTGTTTAATGACGGCCCACTGCACCAAGAATCCTTCTCTACCACTTGCACCTAGCATCGTTCGCCTATTCGATCATAATCCGCACTGGGATCCTCTACGTAGCGTGCTCCCAGGCCTGGCAAACTCGCGATTCTCGCGGCTGACGAGTTAAAAGCTATTTTCGGCGGAGACCGATGTGTTCCTTGCTGAGACCTATCGCAAAGGCACTTCTAGTTCCGGTCCGACGCCTCCATGCCCACCCGGAAAATATGACAGATTCGTCAATTGAGAAAGATTATGCATCACAGTAATTGCAAATTCCTCGCCCTTCCGTCAGGCGGATCGTGTCGTGATGAGCCAATGTGGGAATCATAACGACGTCCAGTTTGTTGTTATTGAGCAGGACGTATTTCAGCAACCTAATCTAGCTTGTCTGCAAGCGCAAGAGCTGCGCCGATTTCTGCGGGCCTATTTCACCGGGGAATATCCATCAGAAGTTGCCCGCCGTGGAGGAGCCCTTATACGAAAGGGCTGGCCTTACGCTCAAAAAATGAGCAAAATATGCACTCGCAATTTGCTTCACGAGTCATCACGTAACCACTCCTCAAGAGGTTCGTCTTCGCCTGACGCGGTAGCGGTCGAATCTACATGTACTCTCCATGGGGACCGTACTTTTGGTACTGAACGCTGGTAACTATGCCGAAGGATGTATAAACTTGCGCACTGGGTGAGGTTGGCTTGTCGACCCACTTTTTTACAGCTGACAGTCCAGTATTAGTGACATAGCGTTAGTCTCATACATCGTTTCTGCTGCTTAACTTAGCGAGGCATAAATCACGACGAAGATATCGACTGAATACATATCGCCTCAAGCCTTGCTGTAAACACCCCAGCCAATATACGTAAGACTGCTGGTACAGTTACCGATCAAGTCTCAAATTTGAATCTAGTTAGTCCGCACTGATATTGAAAAGCGCACTGCGCTGGACAATTATACCGTGTTGCTGCTCTTGAACAGAAGGTAGTTCTGCTACCAGGTATGGTTGCGATATTGCTTCGTCTCAAATACGATCGGAATCGTGGTTTGGCTTCAATACTCCCATGTTAAAAACTAGCTGCTCTCGCATTCTCTATTACGGATAAGGCCCAATTCTTTCCAGGCTACGACTATGGATGGCTCAATTAAGTGGGGTCGTAATAGCATATGCACTGCAGTCACGCTTGTGTAGGTTGGTAACTGCATCTAGTGAAGTCTATCGACCCAGCCAACATTTATCTATGTTTCGGTTGCATTGGTATCTGTATGATGCTCTTGTACGTCCTGTCATTCATTAACCCATAGCGTTGCGCACTCGGTCAATGTTCATGTTCAACAATTTGTGATGTCCCTACAAATGTAGCCAGGCTAATACCAGCAAGTTGAGTGTATCCACACCCTCCTTACCTCCCACAAGGACCTGAGCCTATTCGTGAATGAGTGGAAGGGACACGAAGGCATTTGCTCAAAAACAATCGAGTATTGTGCATGGACTGTGTCATTAATTTAAAATTAGTCAGTGAAAGCAACCTGCTTCAACTCCACTGTCTCTCTGCACAAGTAGATTATAGCAACTAGTTCGTTTCGTCGAACCTTCAGATTGCAGAAACTCGCCGATTAAAATGACAGTTCTGGTTCCACCACCTTGAACAAAGCTATGCTGTCAAGCGCAAATCCCGGTCTAAAACGATAGCCATTGACAAACCATGCTTGTGAATAACTTTGCCGAGGAACATACTGGCTGAAATTTTACCGGTATCGCTAACTGCAGCAAGGTGACTCAGTTGCTCAGCCAGTTTACAAAAACCACAATCCTAGTATTATCGGACGTGATTTGTGTAAGAGCTAAAGTAGGGTCCATAGTAATGGACTGCCAACATTTTGTCGAAGCCGTTTGACTGGCGATGCATACGGCAGGATTTTGACCCGTTGACAATTTTTGAACGTGCGGACATACGTGATTCTGTCCACTTTTACGGGTCACCAGCACATAGCACTCACTGAGCCATATACCTTTGAAATTGGTCTCATACGGGAGATACTTGTGCTTTCTACAGTATTCTGTCCCCGGGTTTCTTATCATGAGATCTACCGTACGATGGATCGCGAGGCTTGGAATCGAAAATGTCGATGCAAGAGTGCGTCCAAACGCTTAAATAAAGCGGTATTGAAGTTCAAATGCTTCTTGTCCCTCGAAACTTTCAGCAACAACCGCATGTTGCATCGGACCCGTACGCTGTACCTATCGCCTAATCAAAGCGTGTCGTTATCGCGGCATGCGACAGCTTATAGTTGGGGCGGCACAAATGCGCACATCAGGCTGACCCAGCTTCTACCTCTTCATGAAGATACGTGCTGACGACGCTACTCTGTGTGAGGTCTGTATCGATCAAGCTACGCAGGCTGACAAGGACGTATTTTATAGCAAGTAATTTTTGTCATGAATTGGATTATTTTGCTTTGTCACTTAAAACTTTGGGACTCAGACACGACGCGACGTACATATCCATTGGTGGCATCTACTGGCAGTGTCGCATAAATTTGTGATTAAAACGGATCTGGATTAGCCATAATCAAGACACTTAACGATCATTTCTCACAGATTTGGAGGCCGCCGCTTCGGTCATTTCCCAAAACATGTGATATTCTACCTTAGAAAAATGTTGAGGAGTCGTGCCATGTCTACATAGTGCGAACTATTTTGTACAAGTAGTTAGCCAAACTCAGCCACATTTTCAAATAATTTGTAGTAGGGGTACTGGTAAATTTACGATGGCCTTGATCTGCCTGCAGACCCTTTCGGCGCCAACGACAAACTTTTTATGCTGAAGAACAGCTTCTTCGCCAACGATGCACTTAACATATTGAGAGACAGCTTGTTGAGGCGTTTACACTCGAGAGCTGCACATCCACTTCACCGTTCTCTGCATGTCTACGGACGAACATATCATCGCATGATGGTTGTGCCTACGCGTAAGCATGATTAGGCCAAGCAGCTGCATTTGGTTAACCAGCAAAATTTTAATACACACTTTTCAATCTCAAGGCAGCATGATTTGTGGTCCTCTTGTCACCACAATGTGACGTTCTTTTATAAGAGGATCAAAGGAATTCACAAGATTAGAATAACCGTCCCACTTTCCCATCTCAACCGCGGACTCATCCACGACGAATGATGATCGCAGCTACGCTTCCAATTTCAAATATCAACCGTACTATTTCAGAGACTTCATCGTCTTGCAATTCTTCGAAACCGCTTCTTAGCGATAAAATCCAAGCTTATAGATCTTCTGCGAAAAATTACGGATCTTAGGACCCCCATCACTCATCCTTGAGAGAGTAAGCTTTCTCGCCGTCTCTGTCCCGCGTCTCACGGTAGTGACGAATCAGCAAAACCCTTCCCTCCTGAGTAGGACATACCAATTTTAGTTACCTCAGGGCTTACTTCCTCTGCCGACTTGTAGCCACCGGTCTCCGCCACTCCTTTCCAGAGAAAAGCCACTCATAGTCACTCATACTCGTCAATACGTTGTCTGTCTCAGGCTACACTGGCTTACAGCTGAATAACCAAAAATCCTAGAGGAGGTAAGCTCAAGCGTCATGGCATACGGCCACTCATTTCTGCATCAACAGAGACACACTCAGCTATTTTCTGTCTCATGCACAAGCTCGCGGCTCACTAGCTGCTCTATTTCTCGGATGCGATCATATCTCGAATCCGGGTCCAGGACTCATGCTGCCAGAGTCTTCGTCTCAAGATTGAAAGCTCATCAGAAGCAGTTTCCCGACTCAAGACACACGAATATTGTATCCGTATTCGACATATTCAATGACCCCGCGTAGTGTTTTCTTATATTTGACAGTCGTGCCTCGTACGTCACGACGATGTATTTCTACCGAGGCCATCCTCAGTATAGGATAGTAATGTTAACGAACAACAACTTGGTCTATGAGTCCCACCTCTATTAGAGTTGGTCGTTCTCGTTAAGCTGAATCTCATTGACATTTACTTCTACGAGGTGTAAACGACTCACTTTCTTCGCAGTCCCTACTTGGGATCTCGACCTTTTGACACACGGGGTGCGTATTACTAGGTACTGCAACAGACATATCATCCGCGAGGATCACAGCAACCAAGAAGTCTCTTACTATTCATCAGCATGGCTGGGGATCATTGCTTCCGGAGTGCTAATAAAGCCTCCTCGTTTACACTCCAAGAAGACCCGTGACATTAATGTTGGGCTCCACATTCAATGCGACAAGCACTGCAAGCTAGAAAGAGGTTGCCTGGAAGCAGTAGGTCTCGGTGCGAGGTGACCTTCATACGAGTTGTAAACGTGATAGCTTAGAGACAAGGGTCTGTCGCCAGCACTTCTTGAACAAAGTTCGCTAAATCTGGCCTTCCAGAACGAGAGGACAAAAATTTCAATCGCATGCGGTAGGAATGATTGGGCGGCGTGAACACCCATGACATATATCGCTTCTACACTTTCCATGTCGGATATGTAGCTTCTACACTTCCATGTCGGGTATATCCCTTCTACAGAGGTACGGCACGTAAGTGTCCGTTCTCGCTCGCAGCCTACAAGCTTAGAGACTGCTAGCGCGACGCGTTGTTGCTCCGTCTGGAGCCTGGCCTAATTCATGGCTACCTCAGCTACTCTGACCCAAAGAGAAATGTCTTCCATCTCTCCTCGAATCGTGGACACTTAGCTTTAGCGGACTGATAGTAAGAGCCACTTTGCTTCCACCGACACCTAGCTAAGGTGTTTCTGGAGGTGTCTCACCACCGTTCGGTCGTCGGATTGACGACAAGTGTCGCGAAGTGTAACGGGGTAGCCGTGCGTCTTGCACAGATAAAGCTTTGATCAAAGGTTCTAGGTTAACAACGCACAGAGGTTGGGAGCTGACTGAAAAAAGTGGCTGGCATATTTTTTGATACTGATTCTATGTTCAGTAATAAATATAATATTCTGTATCAGTACCAGTACTTTGGTACCTCTGAGCTTTGCACCATAGTTTGACGTATTCTCAATTTTTATGCGTCCATATCGTGTTGGCTCATGCAGACTTGTAGAGTCAAAGCTTCGTCTATGCGAAATGCGTAGCAACCCCGTTGCAATCTAGTAGATGTGATACATTTGATATTATATATAACCGTCGAATCTTAGATAGTGACATCAAATCACATCAGTACTAGCCAGCGGCTGTTTAGCTATGATTGTTTTATGTATGCAGGATCCAGAGGGGTGTCGTTTCTAACACATTGGTGCCTGTATAATGCATCTGACGGACGTGCTTCAGCAATGTTAATTTTCCGTAAAATTCAGAAGCAAATATGAGCTGCATCGTCCTTGCCATTCCAATGACGCCAAGCCAAGAATAAAAGAATTTTATCAGATTCAAACAAGTCTGCGATCATGTGCATTTATCACTGTGGTTAGAAATCAATAGTGTATACTTGCCTCTTCCTGATCCCTGTCAATCCTTGAACTGTGTTGCTTCAAGTCAAAGTATACGGTCATCCGTTGCAGAAACTACGTGCTTATCCTTCCCCTCTTCATATGCTGTAGCCATTCACATCACGTGTGGACTCGCTAGACCGACCAAGTAATCACCATGGTTAATGTTTGGTGTGCCGGCATTATTTTGAATCTCGCTGTGGTCAATGTTAATGCAGACTTGAGCTTCACCAGTATAGCTGATGCTGATGGTGCCAAAACCCAGTCAGCACCCTTGACGATTTTAAAAGGCTCTTCGATTTGGAAGCTCAGCTCGCTACAGCAACCTGTTATCACTGGCCATCGCGGTGCACCGGGGTACCTGCCTGATCATACCATTCCGGGCTACACGCTTGCCATTGATTCCGGTGTGGACATCATTGAGCCTGATCTCGTCAGTACGAAGGATGGCTTTCTTGTAGTCCGTCACGAACCTTACATCGACGACACCACCAACGTCGCGGACCATCCTGAGTTTGCTGACCGCTGCACCTTCAAACTACTCGATGGCACCCCCACTGAAGGTTATTTTGTCAGCGACTTTACACTTGCTGAGATCAAAACCCTTCGTGCCGTGCAACCGTTGCCTGAACGGGATCAAAGTTTCAACGCATTGTTTCAGATCCCTACGTTCGAAGAAGTCATTCAGCTTGCACAGAAGAAATCGGCTGAATACAATCGAACTATCGCTATATACCCTGAGATCAAACATTCGAGCTTTCATAAGAGGCTCGGACTGCCTGTCGAGAAGACAATGCTTAGGTTGCTGACCAAGTACGGATGGAATCATGCGGATGCGCCTGTTCTCATCCAGTCTTTTGAGACTGAGAACTTACGCGAACTCAAGAAAGTCACCAACTTAACACTTGTGCAGCTAATCGACGCCGATGGTTGCGATCCGATCACTGGTGATGTCATTTTTAAGGCACCGTACGACTGGATACTGACCAATCGCACGGACGATTGGAAATACTTTATCTCTCCCGCTGGTCTTGAGGAGTTAGCCTCGTACGCTGACATAATTGCTCCGTGGAAGGGATATCTTTTGAAGGCTGTCGCCCTTGAAGTGGATGCACACGGCAACGTCATGGACTCAAATGGCGATGGTATTGTCTCGGATGCTGACTACACCATCGTTAATAGTTCAAATTTGATTAAGAAAGCACATGCCGCTGGCCTTAAGGTTCACACATGGTCGATGCGTGACGAAAACTATCGTTTGACAGCTAATTACTTCGGCAACGCTACGCTTGAGTACTTAAGGCTATTTGATGAAGGTATTGACGGTCTGTTTAGCGATAATTGCAAGACCGCTGTGCCCGCTCGTAATGCGTGGCTGGCTAGTAGTAAACACATTGAAACCGCGTGAGATCCTATAGGAACGTTTGATAAGCACTTAATAAAACCAATCGACACTAAAGCGCGACACTCCGTTGCTGGTATGAGAACGTCGATTCATACGAGCTCACATCTCCGAGTACATCTTGCGGTAAAACTGTTCCTGCTCGTAGCGCGCTTTTAAATAAGCTGCATGAGCTGCTGAGTCGGGTTGCAAAATTTTCAAGCAATTAGTATCATTCGGAAATGATCCCGATTCCGTGAGAGTGTGAAGTCCCAAGAACGTGCCCATGAGCATTGCAATACCTCGTGAGGTAGTCTCAATAGCACGCGTCTCGAGAATAACTTTCTTTCCTAAACAGTCGGCAATCATCTGACACCACACTGATGACGATGTTAATGCAGTGCCACTCACGACAACTGTTGCATCAAAGTCAGCGGAGAACGCTACATGTGGAAGAGTCCGAGTCAATCAAACGAACGAAACAACTCGCTTCTAGAATTTATGATGCAGGAATACATACCAAGAAGAGAAAAGAGAATGCCGATACGCAGAGCTATTGATTCCATTCCAGCAAACAGAATCTCATACGGTGTAGTCCACTTACTAATTCCGCTTATGGCGCATGTTGCATTTTCCAACCAACCCGGTGCACGTTCGCCACTTAAAAATGGTAGAATAGTGAGACCGTGCTTGGTGGGTACAAGCTTTTCCAGATGGGATGCTACGTCTGCACACAAATTGTTACAGAACACACAAGATTGAAAAAATCAAAGTGGGCGCACCTTCATCACTAAGACGAAAAGAATCGCGGAAGAACTTGTATATCGATCCTCCATCGCTAAGCGCTCCTCCGAGAAGAACGTGGTCTCTACCGATGCGATAGCACCACAGACCTTTTGGAACTTTTGCATGTGCCATAGTATCTGCGCTAAGTACAACACGGATCGCAGCACTGGTACCAATGGTCACAGCGATGCGCCTGGTCAAGTATATTATGCAAGTGAGACTCTACACTACACAACACTCCTCTGTAGGTCATCACGTACGATGCATTAGTGCACTTAGATCCAACGTTGGCTGCAGCTCCATCCGAAACACCAAGAAAAAATGGAACGTTTCTGAGTTCAGGCCAACGCTTTGCAAAGGTCGAATTAAGCCCTGAAAATGGTACGGTAGAGTCCACGACTGTCGGCATCTTGTTGATATCCATATAAACGAGCTCAAGGAGACTTGCATCCCATTGACTACGTCTAAAATCAAGTAGTCCCATCCACGAAGCCTCAGAGAAACTGATCGGCACGCAACCATCCTGCTGCGCAGCTGAAGTCCATTTTCCGATAAGAAACCCCGAGATACTTTGCCACTTGGCAACGCGCTCGACCACGGCCGGCTCTTCCTCATAAAGGCGCAAGAACGTGGCTGGTGCATACGCTGGGTGGATTACCGTTCCAGTACGATTGTGAGCTTCCTCTAGCTCTTCTCGTGCTGCCAGCCTTTCTTGAAGTACTTTAGACCACTTGGCTGTCGACTTTCTCCTTCCTGCATACTGCAACATGGAACATAATGAATAAGGAGCTAGCGTATGAACTAATAAAGTTAACTCAACTGCCTTCTGACCGTATACACAGGTGTTATCGCATCCCCCTGAACGTCCACACCCAGCATATTCATGGCAAAGGTGCTAAAGCCTACTCCAACGATCGTGTGCGTGAGATCCATAACACGAAGAAAGTTCATCACTCGGTCCAAAATCTGCTCTGTGAAAGCCGCAATTTTTTTTATATCTGCTTCTCCATTAAAATCAATGGAGTTTACGTGCTGCTGGTGCAGCGACCCATTGATGAGTACCCATTCAGCGTCGGAGACTAAGGCGAAACAACTAGCGCGAATCGATGAACTCCCTATGTCAATCACGACAGCCACTGGAAGCCCTCGATATCGATGCGGTTGTGCAAGACCGTAAAGATATGATCTACGCTTTTGACGGTTGTAATAAAGCCAAGCGCAGGTTGCTGAGGACGCTACGAACAGCGGCAGGAACAATTTCATGGCTACAACGCTTTCTAACCAGTTTATAGCACAATAATCTATTAAGGGTTACAAAATTAAATTTGAAAATTTATCAGAAATAAGAGGTGATCCAGACGAAAAAATTTGGCGTGGCTCATTTCAGTTGCTGTCCATCTTTATTTTAGAAGTCATCACGGTTTAAGCCTATTCATGAATTTGTTAGGATTTTTTTTAATCTAGCTGCCGAGTGAAACGTCTCAGTGTGTTGCAAGTTTTGCGTATATTAAGGAGCGGACAACACTGTCTGCAGCGGGGCTACCGTAGCTCTTTCACTTAGAGAAAGCTAAGCTAAGGTCGATGACGTTACGTTTAATACTAGAAACACTACGAGTGTAGCGGATCGCAATCTGCTTACTCCAAGAGTAATCACTACCTTATCCCCAAGGCAAATAAACTCTTCCGTTCAAAATGTAAACTGTATTTCATTGTTCTATATGCGGTAGAGCCGCCTATATCTTAATCTATAGGTTTTCCTGATTAAATAGTAAACCTAATTAAAATGCATAACTACTGGCAGTCTAGCCACGTAGTGGCTTCTTGTTAAAGTGGAGCCATGGTCACACCATCTTGTGTGGCCCAAACCTTCGTACCAGGGTACGTGTAACCCCGTTAAACTCTCCCCCATCAAAACTATAAACACCCACAACTCACATCTAACTGTCGCCTCGTACGAGGCTCGCGTGTCTAAGACACTTCTACGTCCCCAGGACCTTCTTCACGCATTCTCTGCCCATTGAGACCTGTGTCTACGACACGAGCGACACCCAGTCTCGCGGGTTAGGAGAGCGCCCCCGGGCAGAGCCATTTTTTGTCGTCCTGCATGCGGTGCAACTTCGGACATCACGTCTGCGGCTTGAAGGGAAGCGCATCCCAAGATCTCGGCAACCGCGCGCCGCATACCGCACCCGCAACGGGCGGCAGATTATCGCATTGGGGTTTCGGATGAAGTCGATAACGAGTCCGATATTCCTTTCCCAGGATGGGAAGAAGAGGAGGACTAGGTGCGCCAGCGGCGCGACGTGGGCCCTGCTCGAACCTTGCGGACACCATGTCCGTTTCCGGACTCCTTGACTTTCGGTGGAAGTGTTATCATTACCAATCACCTCGACGAGGCACAGAAGCAGCAGCTGGAGACTTTGGCCACCAGTAGTGCAACAAACAGAGCCAGAGCTGTAGGTCTTGACCGAGATGAGGTGTCGTGAACCTACAAACTTCAAATCCTCATCGTGAGGAACCACAATTTATGGTGTATCCATTGAGACGGTACTATAATTCAGCAATCCGTTATTCATCGAATATCGGTGTAACCGTGCGCGCAGTCGTGACGACAACTTCTTGTCCGAATTTCCAAACTCCTTGCCCTCGAGAGACCTGAAGCAGCGCTGCGGACATATCATCACCCGCGTATGGGCGCGCGGACCAAATTTGTCACTGACGACGTCACCGTCGTGACATGAACAAGCTCAAAATTCTGTCTGCGTGACAACGCACCAGGCTAAACATTCTGTTTTCCTGGCTTATAGTTCAACTAGAAGATATAATCGGTGAAGAAGGAGGGCCAGCTGGCCGTCCTCTGCGAGAGGTGAGGCGCCTGAGTCGCAGAGTGTAGTGACGCATCATCTTTGTGAATCACATACGGCTTTGAGCCGAGCAGGTGCACCCTGAACTTGACAAGTACATACTACATCGCAAGTAATTCCCTGTCTTCGACTGCGTAGTTCATCTTCGCAGCCTTGACAGTCGATCTCGCCCCTCGACGTCTGCTTGCAGCAATGCACAGTTGATGGCAAATTCCGAAGCATCACAGACGACACTAAAAGGACGATCGGGGTCCGGCAGCGCCAGTATTGGTGCATGAAATATGCTGTCTTCGACCTTGTCAAAAGTCTCGCGATGTTCGGTGTTCCAACACCATTCCGCATCTTTCTTAAAGAGATTCAACAATGGCCGTGCTATTCTCGCATAATTCTCGCTATACTTGTGCAAGTAGTTGGCGAGGCCAAGCCACTTGCGCAAGTTCTTTTGGTTCTTTGGAACCGGCCAGCCCACAATGGCCTTGACATTAGCGGGATCCACTCGAAGGGCACGCTTCCCAATTATGCACCTTGAAAAGGGGTAATTTTCGGCGCCGAAGATGCGCTCGTCTGCATTAGCATACATCTTATTCGTGCGCATTCACTCGAGCACCGCTCTCAAATGGACGATGTGGCTCTCTACATCCCGTTCCCCGCACGACTTCCGACGAAGATGTCGTCGAAGTATGTCTGTGCATGCGCGCGGGGGAGGGCTGAACAGCTGTGTCACAAGACGATTAAATGTTGCTGGTCCATTTGACATCTCTTGGGACATCATCAGCCATTCCCAGAGCAAGCCGCTTGGATAACTCAACGCTGTCAGCGGAGTATCACTCGCTTTCATGAGCAATTGGTAATACCCATCGACCAAGTCGAGTGCGCTGCACTTTGTACATCCAAACGTGTTGTTGGAAGAACATCCTTCCTAGGATCGGCGTCTGTACCGAAATTGTGGTAGCGTTGAGCTTAATGTAAGCGTGAACGATACGCCACTTGCCGTTTGGCTGGAAACAAAACGTGGGTTTCAGATGGGAGACTTGCTCTCATGCACCATTCCTGCGTTGTGCTTCGCGCGGAAGAAGGCGTCAATGACGTCACACTGCTCTTTGGGCAGAGGCCGTTGGCATGTTACGCAGTATCTGGTTCTCGGAACCAGGTCGATCTCATGACGCACACCTCGGTTCGGAGGTAGGTCCAACGGCGGGGCCTTAAAGACGACGTCCTGAAATTTTCTACCAAAGAATAGTACAGATCCGAGGGTTGCTTCAGGACCGGAGATCCACTTTGTGCGTTAAGCACCCTCTTGGTGCCCTCAGGACAGCATCATCCAAAAGCGACGACAAGTTGATCTCCACTTCTGATCGTATAATGATCACTTCGTCTACGTTGCCTGCCTTCAATGTACCGCCAAATTCTTCGAAGAACATATCGTCCAGCTCAAGAAGAGCATCCACCGCAGAAATAGCCTCGAAGGTGACTTCGCCATCTTTCTCCCCCGTCATACCGTTGACGAGGGTGTATAGCTGTGAATTATCGTTTACGGTAGGCACATCCTGGGTCAGGGTCGACGCCCGGCGTCTCGCAGCTAGCTTACGGCGTCGCCGTGGCCTTTCCACAGAGGTTTTACGTCTCGACTAGACCGGTGTGATACGCATTCAGCGTCGTCCAGTGTCCCCACCCGAGCCCTGATGTTTTTAATAACATCCAACGAAGAGCTGCTAGCTCCGCAGTCTTCGTCCAGCGGGTAACGTGCCACTCCGCGTGCATCACTGGGGCCTCGCCCTCGATGCCTCGGCCCTTGGCCGACTATGCCACGCATGGCATGACTACTCCGATACTTAAGCAGCA